AAGGACATTTCTGTAAATACTCTATAAATGCACACATATACAGACCATAGCATAGACTATATGTCTTCTATCTGAAGATATACCAGGATCTCTCAGATATCTGACTTTAGTTGCATCTTTTTTTTTTACCATTATTTCCCTTCTAGCCAATAGGAATAAATGACTGTTATTTCTGTTTTCTACAAGGGCATGTCATCCGTGTTATTAAAAATGCAGCCACAACAACAGCAACAAATTTAACCAAACAACTGCTCCATAAGTTTTCAAATAAAAATGCAACACAGATTATGGGTTACCCTTGGAAGTGGTTCTTAGTTGTCCAGTAATGAACAGTCTTTAGAGAGGCCTGTAGATCAGGGAGGATCCCAGCTATCTGACTACCTTCAGTGCAATTCTGAATAGTATCAAAACTTTACTCATCATTGTAAGGATATGCTAGTTTGATAAAATCTTTATAGGATGCTGCTGCAGTGCACCTCAATGAAATGCTCTCTTGGACACCCTCTCTCTGTATTGCTGTGTAAACTAAAAAGTGTGTGAGAAATTGCAGTGTAGCACAGCATATTTCCTTTCCTGGAAAACCCATTATAGGCTGGTTCTTTCACTGCAGTGCCCTCCAAGCCTTAACACAAGGTTTGCATCCCTAGTGGCATAGAGCCTCTCTTCACTCCTCCTTCCTCCCCTCAAATTCTAACCAGTTCATGACTACAGTGGGTGGTTATAGTTTATCACTGACTGTCAGAAAATTGTCAGACTTCTGCAGAAATGCAAAACTGGCTGTAGTACAACATTGCCTCTGCAGCTGTTAGGGCTTTTTGTTTGCTGAGTATTAATAGGAGATGAGTTATGTTCTGCTGGCATTTGGAAGCAATTCCCTCTCTGGCTCCTACCAATTACATATCTATCTGGCAACATTGTGTTGCAAGTTTGTGACATGCAAAGTGGAAAGGCATACCCTTCTCTGGGAAAGGTACTCGTCCTTTTCAAGGTGAAAAATTAGATCGCTAAAACTAATGCAAACTTTAAACGTCTGTGGTATCTGAAAATGCTGCACAGGTACATGTTAAGAAATTACTGGGCTTTGTAGATGGTCTTAAATCAGGCTATTAGCACATTCAAAAGTAACACATATTTTGACCAAATACTCTCAAAGCACAGAAGCGTGTTCCAAAAAGAATAAACAATTTTGCTTTGTCATTGAACCACAGAAAGCATTTTCTCAACTGGTGAGATTTTAAATATACCTGAAAAAAAGAACTCTTAAAGATTCTGACTGGGCAATCCTCTGAGAATAGCATGAAAGTATAGCTTCAAAAACAGAACAGCATCTGAAATTGCAGAATTTCAGTTTTATAAAAGTGTGCAATTAAAGTAGAAAATGGTTGAAAATTCTTTACATGTCTTCCTTTATACTCTTCATTCCTAGTGCACTTTTACAAATCTCTCACAATATATTAGTAGTTTCTTCTGCCCATGTGCACAATTTCTCTCTAGTGTGATCCTGTAGGTTGGTGGATTGGGCCAGTAATTATCATTACAACTGTGTTTGATAGATTTCATTGTGATAATCTGCTTCCATGAAGAAAATAACTTTCAGAGGCTTTTCCCTTCACTCATTCCTATTCCAGGTCCCTGCCCATTGCATGTAAGTTACTATTTACAGTGATGTCAGCAATCTGTTAAGTACCTAAAGAGTGGGGTTATGTATAATAACTACAGGTTACACAGGTTACATAATTAGAGCATCATGTTTCATTTGCTTGTTAATTTTCCAAAAATGCAGGAAAAGAAAGGATAAATAACTGTGGAATGTTATGGATTTGAACTAAATGCTCCTAAACATATTATATATGCCTCCATATCAAAATATAGAAATGAGTAATAACCCTCTATTTACTTGACCTCAGTTCTAATGCTTCTTTTTTTCCTATTAATAGGAATTATACTGTGCAAATCATCTAGTCTGTAATATCTCTGATTTTTCAAGTTTCCCCACAAAGCTCTTTAATAAAAAAAAGGCTCAAAGATGTATTTTTAAGCTGTTTATGTCAGAGGGCTAGCTAGTCACAGTATAAGGGTATTTCCTTAAATGTGGTACAAAAACAAGCTGTGGGGAGTCCTACAGTCTAACTGTTGACAACAGAAAAACTTTGGCATCTGAGGTTGGCCAGGATGATTCCCATGGTCCCCCTTTAATAAGCCTCATACAATAGAACCACCAAATATATTTAACCTTTAATATTTCAAGGCCAAGGTACAAACCCATCTGCATGGAGTGCTTGAAATTCTTGAGAAATTTAAATTCTCTTTGTAAGGCTGATTCTTTATTTGGCCATGCACTGATCTTCCCTTTATCCTAGCTCCAGGATAAATACTGCAATTTATACCATAGTATTTTCTGAAGCAATGTGTAGTTGATAGTCAATATTGACTCATGTGGTAAAAAGATACCAGACTATGAATACAGTTACAGGAAAAGCAAAAAATGGAATTAAGAGCCTTTGTCAGTGAGCTACTCAGTTTTATTGAGAATTAATGCTATAATCAGGAAGACTCCAATCAATAGTAAGTTAAGAGGATTATAACAGTGTATGGGAAAATAAAAATAAATTACCACACCTTAGCTACATTTCATAGATGAGTTTTATTTTGATAATCAGTACCTCTGATTCCTGCAAATGTTATGCTATGAAACATAAAAAGGGAGATACTATCTCTGTCCAAAAAATAAAAGTCTGAAGGAAGATGGTTTACACCATCTTCTTTGGATAGAAAATACACAAGGTTTTCAGACACTGCAGTTTTTAACATAACATTCAATCAACTGCAAAGCTGTGTGGTTTCATATGTAAGTCTCAGCAATGGGCAGGAATCCTCAAATATGCCTTTAGATATCTCCAACCAGCATATATCAACATTCATTACTGCTTTAACTTCCCACTTGAGTAGTCAAGTGGCTCTCAGTATATCTGCACGTGATGTTATTTACTACTGCCTACTTCATTTTCTCCTATTTCAATTCTGGACAGAGCAGTGATTTGTCCTTGATGAGCACACTGATACAAAATCTCAGGGCTGATGTTCACAACCTAGCAGTATAACAAATTACCAAGAGGCAGCAACTCATCAAGCACGGGCTGCCCAACTCTGGTGTAGTACAACTTAGTTCCAAGCATCAATGAAGGATGGTTATGCTAATTTGCATTTTCTTACAGTAGGGCAAGTGAAGAATGTACATGCAATCAATTAACAACAACTACTGTATCTCAGCTAATAGGGGCAACCTATTAAGCTGACATAATTCATTATGTATTTGAGCCTTTAATGAAAAGTGGCCCACCTAAAGAGGCTCTCTCCTAAGCATTTCTCACATTGCCTCTTTGTTTTGTATTGTGGATTAGCCAAGGCAGCTACCAGCACTCTTGTCACAATTCTGCCCTTCCTCAATAATCCAAGGTACTGAAGTCTCTTCAAATACCCAGTCTGGGATTTTTTTATCTCCTTCTCACAGTTCTTTAACAGCTAAAAGAAAGTATGATCAGTCTCATGATTTGTGACCATAGCTCAAAGCCTCTGCAAAGAAGATCTTGCTTTAAAAGGTTAGATCCTGTAATGAATTTCTGCCCCAAAACCAGGATAACTGAAAAAAACCCGATGTTCTTAAATGTTAAAAACTTTCCCATCCATGTATTTTTCAAAACACAGGACATAAACATCACATATGTCCTGTAGATATTTCAGCAGGTCCCTAAATTCTTTAGAACAACATCCTCAGTTTAACACTAGGAATTACAGACCATCAGCAATACTTCATACTGCAAACTGAGAACCTCTTTCTGGGACTGAGCATCTGTAAATGTTTGCAGGTAGCACCCGTGCTGATAACAGATATTTAAGATCAAAGTCATAGACTGGTCAAGCACAACTCATGTCCTTTACAAACCCTGTAAAACATAGGTTATATGAAAGATTCCTTTGACTGCTCTCAAATATAGACAGTCTTAGACAGATACACCTGTCAAACAATTTATGTATGCTTTTACCAAACTTCTACATTTTGTCCAGGCGGCTAAGGCAGATTATTGGAAATATGCAGTTCAACTGTAAAACAGAAATTGCTTCATGCTTAACTCCTCCTTAAAGATGTATGTGGCTCTTTCACCACAAATGTTGTACTATAGATTTCACTCCAGTATTTTGAGTACCCTATTTCTATCCAAAGATGATCATAAATTGCATTTACACTAACACATGGTAAATCTTTGAAAAGAGAAAGGAATTGAATGGTCAGGGAGATGGGACAATCAGGGTTGTAAATATTAACTTGCTGCATAAGGAACATAGTACTTTGCAGAAGCAAATCCAGTACTTCTGTATTTTCGCTGCTAAGAGGGTGGAAAAGATTTATACTGCATTGGATCAAATGCCCTGGTTAAAATATTAATGTAATGAGGAACAATTAATTTTAAATCAATGTACCTTGCTGCAACTACATACAGTTACACTTGTTTAAGTGTAGATGATAATCAGAACTCGACCCTTTCAACTTCTGAATTCACCTGAATCTGTTAGAAGCCAGATGCACCATGAAGTTTTCCAATTAAAGCCAGTGTGGTTCTTCCAGGAATGATATTATGCCCCTGACTTCCTGTTTTCCTTAAAACCATATTAAAGTTAATGCAGCTCATTACCAATTATATAGTCAAAATAACAGCAAATTGAGTAAAATGCATATGAATAACTTTATTTTTTAAAAAAAGTAATTAAGTCAATGCCTGCAAAATTTGTTTGCAGAAACTGTGGGTTACTATTCCACCAAGTGTTTCAGTTTCTATCAACACATTCAGTGATTTTGGTAACATTTTTGTTACTTTTTGTTTTTACATAACTTTCCTAAGGGACATTTTGGGCATAAGAACATCATAAAATCAACAGAAACAGCTGAATTATCATTCTGGAGTGATTGAATTAAATCATAGCAGAATTGGAAAAATACTTACGCTCCACAAAGTAAGAGCTGGCATCAATCTTCCAAATAATTTGACCACGGTGAGAGCCATTGACGCCACGGTTCTTGTAGTCCAAAAAGTTTTCTGACAAGACCTCATCTATAAACAAAGAAGATTGGTCTCAGTAAGTGCCTGTTATGACAACATGCACAACAGAGGCTGAAAACACACCTTTGGCTTGACAGAACATCCTAGAGCTACTAGAGAGCTTGGCATGTGTGCTGGTTTTACCTAGGGAGGAGAAACTCAGAAGTTTTTTCTATGAGAACTCCCTCTGGGAGTTGATAGCGACCAATTGAAGCTGGCTTGGTTATTGACAGCTTGAGAAAACCAACTGGAGAAAGCTAGTTTGCTCCATGAACACACATTTTGAAGGAAGTAAACTGGAATTAAGCTGTCTTTCTTTTCCAGTGGCAGTGCAGGTAAGAGGGCCCAGCCTGCCTCCACTGCAGGCTCCCCTGTGTGGGGAGCTGGCATGGCCCGGCAGGGAGGAGGGGTGGCCATGGGCAGTGGCCAGGGAGACTCAGGCTGATTTAAAATCCCAGCCACTTCACCCCCCTTCTCCTTTTCCAGCACAGCCAAGTTTTTAAAATTTTGGCACAGCTCCAGCATGGTAACCTTAGGTTTGTATTTTTTCCCTGTGTAAAATCTTAACTCTTTCAATGCTCAGATAAAACTCGCAGACTTTTCAATCCTTCCCAGAGTGAGAAGGGAAAAAGGAGATACTCTGAAGTCAGTAAAGCAAGAGGTAAGTTATTTTAGATGGAAGGAAAATGAGGAGATGCTGTGAAGATGGCTGAAAATCCTTTTGTATGTTGTAAGGATGAACTGATGTTACATTGAACATCCCTATAAACCACGGAGAAAAAAGACATGGGGGGGTTGGAGTGTTCCATTTAACAGATCATTTGACCAAAAAGCACCTGTGCTGAGAATCTTTTGCCCCGAGAAAAAGAAGAGAATCTCAGTTTTCTGAGGATAAAGCATGAACAGAGAGAAAAGAGATGAAGAAAACTTTTGGTTTAGAACAGTTCAGTCTTAAAAGTAATACCCATGAGATCGACATGGCCCACAAGCACAGCTCTGGGAAGGCTGTGAAGATGGGAGCAGTGCCACAATTGCAGGTTCCTGGGCAGCTGGTACTCATGAAAGTGAAGTCAAAAGAAAACTGTTTCCTTCCCCCTTTTAGGAAAGAGATCCCTATAGTCAAGCAAGAGGAAGCTCCTGTCTCTGAAGTAAACTGAATAAGATTATTTTCGTGGGGAATTGACTGAAGTGTCTTTATATGTTGTTGTTAAGGAATGGACAGGAGGAGGAAAGAGTAGTCTGAAGAGCTTGTTCTGAATTGTTGGGGTTTTTTTCTTTCTCTTTCTTTGTGTAGTTACTAAAGTTTCTTTTACACCCTTTTAAGTTTTAGGCCTGCCTTGCTCTTTTGCTCCTAGTTCTGTCTCACAACAGAAAATGAGTATATTTAAATTGACAAATCAAAACTGTAACATTATTTGGTACATTACCCAGGAAATTCAAATTAAACCAAAACATTTATTGGAAAAATTAAATTAAACCAAAATATCATGACACATTGAGAAATCAGATTTATCATTCATTTATATTATTTAAAAGTTCAGCCAAAGTGGCAACCCAGGATGGGCTGGGCCATGGGCTCATTGCTTCAGCTTCAGTGAGATGAAATGGATTTCACATCTGTGCTCTGACAACGAAAAAGCCACAATCTCTACCAGCAGAGACCAGCCAGCAATCTCCTGGCCTTTTCCTTTTAGTGAAAACAACAGTTTTAATTTTAACAGAGATTTGCACAAATGTGCTTTAACCAACTTAGCCTTTCTTGCTATGGAAAAAGTCTGGGGTGGATGCTGAGACCCAGTTCTGAAGACAATTATGTTAATTATTAGTTGCATTAAAAGTGAGAAAAAATGTGAACCACTCAGTCTCACTTTAAAATACTTGAGTTGTAAACACTGAAGAATTGGCTTTGTTTCAAGAAGAAAACCAAGATAATGCCAAACAACAAGAGACACTGTGCCTGAGAACACAGGGATGGTGTGACCAACTGCAGAACAGAAGAGGCAGCCCAACAGACAAAGTTAACAAACCCAAAGACTATTACAATAGTTTAATAAAGGAGACTAAATTGAATGAAACTACACTTTCACTGAAAGAAGAAAGCAGCCAACAGATGCCAATATTGTCTCACTGGCTTTATATAGTCATGCTCTCAAAGGAGAAAGGTGAGTGAGTACCAACACTGAACTCTGGTATTACTCTCTTGAGGGATTAAAACAGAAATCCTTCTAATGAGGTCATTAACAATTGCAATGGATAATTATAAATAGCAATGCTATCTACAATAAATTTTCCCTTTGCTGACTTGCTAATTGTCAGGAATTACGTCACCAGCTGTGTTTCATGCTCTGTTTTGAAGTGCATCTCTATTGAAATCCTTCAATAGCAAAATCCTCTGGTATGATTTCTGTTCTTGCTTTGTACTTTATAGTTGGTTGCATCTTCTTTTAAATTCCAAATTATATATATATATATCTAAAAAAAGCAGGTAAGTATACAACTATTACTCTCAGAGCACTGGTTTACTTATGAATACCTTTAGTAAAGGATCATCCTGGATACAGATTATCAAGGATAATGGACATCATTCTGTGGAAGTAGGAATATTATATACTTGTGAGAAGACTTAAACCTGTCCTTTTTGCTTTGGCAGGGAAAATACTTTATACTTAAAGGGGAACATATACTGAAATGTTGCACTGAGCTGGAGCCTGGGAACCCTGCCTGGCTCTCATCCTGATGGGGCAGAGAGAGTATCCCTCAGTTCAGGCATGCTGTTCATTGGCTTCATCACTTTGTGATGTTTATTTGTCATGTTTAGTCTCTGTTAGCTGCAGGAGATGCTCCAACATCTGCCATGTTGTGATGATACATGGATAATTACTGTCCCTCAAGATACTGTTTATAAAATACCATGCTTGCTTAACGAGGCTTAGCTGAGTTGGACTGGATAGTCTTGCTAAAGAAACTGAAGGCATTTTAGGCCGGAGTTGAGTGGCACAGGAGACCCCAGAATCAGCTTTAAAATACTGTGTTCACACTCACTATCTGTGGGGAACAGCTGGCACTTTCACTGTTGCTGCTTCCTGCAGCTGGCACAAAGGCAGCATAAACTCTGCCACACATAACCCCTCTAATTTAACAGAGATGTTGACACATGCCCATACCCAAACTAAATCACGTCCCTATGGCAAGCTGAGCCAATGGGGATGACTCCAGAACACCCTTTGCTCTATTTTGTTGAAAAAGTGTAGGAAGACTAGAAAACCAGGCTGAGAAGAAGGGCAACTATCCACCTGCATGTCCAAGACAGAAGACCACAAGAAGGGAAGGACAAGCAAGCCAGTCTATGGTTACAGCTGAGACCACAGGAAACCCGGAACAAAGCAGGTCCCCAGGGAAGGGATACATACATGGAGCTAGTCATGTGCACACAGTTTATGGACAGTGGCCACTGATGGAATAATGGCTCAGACATCAGAAAGGATAATTTAATACAAGCTTATGGAGCTCTGCAATATGCAGAGCACCTGAATAGGAGCAGTGAAGCCTTTAAATATAAAACCAATTTGTATACAAAACTTATTTTTATACAAAATGTCATGATTTGGAAATCCAGTATGTGAGCTGTTCTCACAGTCAGTTTTAACCCTGTCTCTTTTGAAAGAGGTACGTTCCTAATTCCAAAGAAATAAAAATTATTTTCAGTCTAGTAAAAATTTATGTTCATTGGGATTTCTAAGCCAGAATAATTTTATCTCTAGAAGAATACGTTCAGGTCCAAAAGGGAAGTCTTGTTCTTTCAGTTTTTAAAGGTATGTATTTTTGGAAGGTGAAAGATAAGAAAGAAATATCTTCTGGCAAGTTAAAAATAGTAGTAATTGAAACTCGTCAGGAGACTGGAATGTATGAATTTGCCTAGTTGACCTGTTTTAATTGGCAAGTAACACTATTCCAGGCATGCTGTTCCCTGAACACACACATTATGTATGTAGCACATTGACAAAGAAAATTGTGCATGTGAAATACAATGCTGCTTAGTGCATTACGTGCATATGTATGTCCATGTATTTATCAACATTCATTACACAAGTAAGCAAATAGATGGTATTTCTCTAAGGAGAAAGAGTATGTGCAAAGGAAAACAAATTTTATTTCTTGTTTCTATTGAGAATCCCCATAACAAAGGAACTGACCTTCAAAACATGTTGCATCTTAATTCCCAAAGGTAAACGGTGAAATACTTCATTTCACCTCCGCACAAAATGAATAGCAGAGTTAATGCTGTTCCCTTTTATATATTTCAGGCAGCAGCTAATGCCTTTTGACATTTTTCCAATGAAGCATTGTAATGCATCTCCCTCCCTCTATTTTTGAAATGTGATTAACCTTTAAACTAGCTATCTGCTTCCTCTGCATAGCTTGGGTTTGGCCCTGCTTGGCCAAAAAGCAAACATTTTGCAATTGCTCTCAGGTCTGTGACTTCATTTCCCTGGGCAGTAGACAGCTTACTAATTAAGGATTAAAATGGGGGAGTATTTGGGATGCACTGCACTTTGAACATCATTAGTTGCTCCTGGAGCTGGGAATGGTGAGGGTGTCTAAGGACGGGAGCCAGCAGACATTGCTCTCTGTCCACCCTGCCCTTGGGCATGCAGGATTGCTGGCTGCCTCTTGCTCGAGAGGAGAGGTGGCTGCAGACCTACAAGACTTTGCTGGGACAGGAGCTGCAGCTCCCACAGACCTCCCACGGGCCCTAGAGGAAACAGGGAAGGTGATGCATGACCAGGAGCCAGGAGCCCGGATCCAAATAGCAGCCAGAGGGACCAAGCCACGCAAGCAGCAAATGACAGCAAGTGCTTTGGGAATCAGCAGCAATCTGATGGACTGCTTCTCCTCACCAAACCAGATACTGCCAAGCACAGCCTTTTACTGCTAAAAATATTCTATGCTGCCACTTCCATGCTGAGCATCCCAATATAATTCACAAGCACTAGAGAGAGATAAAGAACCAT